TACTGGATGGAGCTCCATCCCTCCAGAGAATGCTGCTCCACTGCTCCACATCTCAATGCAGGGGGGCTTCATACCCTTCTAGCCTTCGCTTGGCACCGGACATGGTGAGCTTAGGCTTGTGTGTGGCTGCTCCAGAGCGTCCAGTTCTATTGTCAGTGCTTGTCTATGGAGATTATACAAGCTGTGTGCATTTGAACTCCAGTGTCAGCAGTGAGTGACCGTAATGCAGCTGAATTCACTAATAAGAAGGGGCGTCCACAAACTTTTGGACAGTTATGTATAAGAAACGTATGTATGTAGTTCGGTTTAGTCAGGGATATGTATGAAACTAGATATTTGCTTATTTCTAGAAATCTTAGTAGATATTGCTGATTTAGTAGACATTAGCAGACTGTTTTTGCTTTATGTGAATATTTACATTTTCTATAAATGTTTTCTAGTTTTTTATGGCATTTTTGCAGCGCATAATTAGTCATAAAGCACCTCCCCAATGTAAATACCTGTTTGTTGCTCCTGTCGGTTCGCCCTGTTTTTCTACACAACATTGTCGTCCTGAAAATATATGAAAACCAACACACATAAAACAAAAGCTAGTCTTTCATAATCCCTCACGCTAACCCGTTTCTCATTATCTCCTCTCTAAATCACTGAGGAGGCTAATTAGCCACTAATGCTGCTTTAAAGCCCCTCTCTTCTGGACATTTTATATCAAATGCCCACAAAAAGCTTTTTCATTCTTTCATCAGCCAACCTTCCACTACCCTCAGCTCTCTGTTCTGCCTCTCTCTCTCTCACACACACACTTTCTCCATCCCTGAGCTCTGAGTGTGGATGAAAGGTGTCATTTTGGCTCAGAGTGCTCGAGCCGAATGCATTCAGGGTCAGAAGTCACAGGGTCAGCCAGCCTTTTAGGAGTGGAAACATGTGATAAGAGGCAGGCCAGTGTGTGTATGTGTGTGTGCGCTGTGATGGACAACCTTCAATGCCGCGTATTTTTAAAGTGAAAGTTTGGAAAAAATCTAATTTATACATTTTTTTTCTGCTTACATGTAGTTGATCAGCGAAGACGTGTCTGGTGTCTGAAGTCTGCTTCTTTAGTTTTTGCACTGAAAGCTCATATCCCAGCAATTAGCATCACACAGATTTCAGGCCTGAATGACTCTAGTCTCAAGGGGCCAGACGTGATCTCATAATGAGAATAAACGACAGAGGACAACCTATTGAACTTTTGGTGCTAGATGGGGCCGAAATCCACCACCACAAGTGTACACCCCCTCTAAAGCCAACCCCAACCCTGAAGCGCCACATCGGCTCTACACTGCAAAAAATTATAACTTAGCAAGTGTAAACATCTTAAATGTAGTCAATATATCTACTATTTCTCATTATGAGGCTGTCGTAAAAATATTGTAAGATTATTTAACTTATTTGTAGACAATTTTTACTTGTTTTTAAGCTGTTTTATCTTATATAAGTGTCTTGTTCCATTGACAGATCATGTTACTTGTTTTAAGCATTACTTCTTGAAATAAGCTAAATTATCAAAATTATTTCTCAAAACAAGTAAACTAATCTGCAAATGGAATAAAACACTTTCACTAGATAAAATCACTTAAAACACATAAAAATGTACAGAAACAGGTGGAAAAATATTAGAATATTCTTATAACAGTGTCATATTGAGAAATATTAGCTATATTTAAGAAGTTTTCACTTGTTAAGATCTTTTTTTTTGCAATGTACTTTGAGCTCCGCCTCTGAGACGTTGGACTGGCTTAAATATTTCGCACTCAGTTTGTTCCCACCCTAATAAGTGTACATTCCCAGCCACATTTAGCCCAAAAGTTCTAATAGCTGTCCCCAGATGTTCTTGTTACGAGATCATGTCTGGCCCTGCAAGACCAGAATGACTCCTTGGGGAATCGCTAAGTAATCTCTAATAGACTTGGTGTAATCTATAAACATGGACATTGTACACTGAATAACTAAAAACAGTGGTTGTTGGCATCTTGGAGCCCAAATTGTGGCCAAACTTCTGTCTATTTTTAGTAGAAAACTGTATAAATTAGATTTTCACAGTGAGTTTATACAGAAGCACCAAGTATTTGCAGTGTGTTGGCTCAGCGCTGTCATTTGCATTTGTGTACTTGCGTTGAGTTGTTTTGAGATGTTTCTGGTTTTAGGGGACGGTCAAGTGCCGGGAGAACCCAGCCACTCATGGGATTCGAACCCACAATGTTCCAGTTGCTGGTTACCCCTCCTCCCACTACGTCACTTTACTACACTTCAGGGGTTCTTTAGTAAAGGAAATGAACCAAGAACATTCAAAGAATCATTTGCATGCTTAAATGGTTCTTTACGTGATTCTTCAGATTAATGGAGAATGTGTTGTATATTAGGCGATAATGTAAATTTAGACAAACGATTATCGTCTCCAGAATTATTGCGATAAATGATATTATCGTGTTAAAAATTAATTTACGAAGAAAACTCAAGTGAGTGGGCCTTTCAGTCATGTGATCATTTTATTGCAGCCTATGTAAGTGAACTGCTGCATAGTTTGGGGCTGCAGAGCGCAAAGCCCGAGCTTTGATGAGGGTCGCGAGTGACGGCAGGAGGAGGAGGACGACAAGGGGCACCAGGGCAAAGAGCGAGTCCTGAGTTCCGCCGCCCGGGCCCTGCCCCCTGTTCCACAGCGAGGCCGCTTCATTACACCTCACGTTCGACTCGGGCGGCCAAGCTGCAAGCTGGGGGCAGTGACGAGGAGACGGAGCAGCGAGCTCTCGGCTTGGGTGCTTTTAAAAAGAGCAGAGAGGGAACAGAAAGAGAGAGGGACGAGCAGCAGCAACAGAGACTGACTGAAGAGCTGGTTGGTTTTGTTGAGTTTATTTTGTGTGAGTTTGAAGCAAATATTAAAGGAATGGCTGCTGCATAAGTTTTTCCTGCCTCCAGCGTCCTCGAGCCCAGGTTAGCGCATGACGTGCTACAAATAATAATATTATTATTATTATGATTGTAGTCTTTAACAACCTAGCTTGTTTCATACACAATTAACATTATTACACATCTCAGGCGCCGCTGTCTGCTGAAGTACTTACGGCTTGGCAGCTCGTACTGTGGATTCAAGGTCTGTATTGCCACCTTTGATGATCATCAGTTTTCTGCATAGACGGCGTGTAACACTGTTACTCTAACATCTAACGGTTCTCCGTGTTCGTCGGATCCGAAACCAAAATATTACCAAACGGGCGCGGTAACACCCTTCTTCTGTACAAGCTCATCCATTTTTCACCATCTAGGAAGACGGTCACATGTAGTTGTTTCATTTGCATATACCCAGCATTCTTTGCCAGACTGAAACACTACATTCTAATCTTTTCAAGTGGTGTTTTAAAAACGTATATTTGTAGTTAATTAGTTACGTTTGCGTGGTCTATACTTAAATGCCCTCTTTTCTGTTATAGCTTAGGTCTAAAATTTTAACCTACCATAGATTAGAATGCTTGTACAAAGTCAATGGTTAAATAAGAAGAACGACAAAAAAAGGAATAATTCCCATCGCAAGGGTACATGATAGAAAAATAAAACGATAATTTACTTCATATCGTCACTGGTTGAAATTATTGCGATATTCGATAATATCGTTTACCGTCCCAAGGCTATTGTACATGGTTCTATATAGAACCTTTCTGAAAATGATTTTATGTAGCACCAAAAAGGGTTCTGCTATTGTTACGATGTCAAGCTTGTAGAATAGAATTTTGGTGCTACACAGAAACGTTTACAAAGAGCTTTTATATTGGACCATTGTTTTTACTTAAGAACCCTTGAAGAACCATATAAGAATCTATGAAGAATCTATATAGAACCTTTTTGGAAAGGGTTCTGTACAACAACAACAGCTTGTCATTATAGAAGAATACTTTTTGGTGCTATATAGATGAAAAGGGTCCTACAGCACATTCGCCATCAATCTGAAGAAACACTTTCACAATGTACATCATGCAACGGGTTCTTTGAGCGTTCATGGTTCTATATAGAACCATTTACTTTACTAAAGTACCCTTGAAGGGCGTATAGGCTACCAAGCTAGGGGTGTGGAAGCTGGCTTCCTCTAAGATATCTGAAGACCACCACATCTTTTGAACTACAGATAACGCAATGCCTTTGGACAGCTCAACATGATTGGAGGAGAACACCAGTCAGTTAAAAGATGTCCACATTGGCTAGCATCACACTGAGTGAAGGGGTGAGGGGGAGGACCATCCTACCCACCCAGAGAGCACAAGGCTAATTTTGCTGTCTTAGACTGGGAACCAAACTCACTCTGTGTTGTAATGTGAATATTTTTTACTGTAATTACATTTAAGTATCATTTATATATGGATGGCTTTAAATAAAACATCAAGGCAAAAAGTGAGTGAGGAATACAGCAGTCAGTGAGAAAGAGCAACCACAGAAACTGAAGTCTCCAGTAAGCAAATGCAGTCAAGGTCTCTCGTAGAACGTCACTGTGTGAAGCCACCGAGGTGAAGGAGAAGCCATTTGTCTGACGGGATCTGCCCCTCTAAGTGTGTGATCATTTTCAGTGGTGTGGTTTAACCGCTTGTATTTGTCAGACAAGTTTGTTCTGGTGAATAAATGTGGTACCGACTCAAAGATTAGACAGGCCATTAAATAAAGGTCATCAATAAAGGTCGTCATCCTGTCATCAGCCTATAGAGGGAGACGATTAACCTGAAAGGCAGAGACATGAAAGGAAAATGAATCACAGCACAGGACTGTGTGCATTTATTCGGTTATCTGACACTTTCCTTCCAAAACAGGCCATTTTTCAGCACTAAAAGGAGGGTGTGCAAATTCCTGGAAAAGGTTCTTTAACACTTTCTCAGAATTCACCTCTCTGAGCGTCACCTCACTGCCCGCTAACTGAACAGAGCACTCAGAGGAGGACTGCATGTGTTTGGAGTCAGTGTGGCATGAGGAAGATCTCTGCCATCCTGTTTATCAAGGTACAAACAATATAAATGTTCCCTCAAAGGTACAACAGTGGTTTTAAGGGCCAATTGTTCCCAGTGTAAAAGTTCATATTTGTATCTTTTCATAACCGAATGTTTTAAAAAGAACAGTAAAATAAAAGCCTGGAGACGAGACGGGGTGTGTGGAGTCAATACAGCTTAGAAAATATCATTTCAATGGACTATGATACAATTATGTTCCCTGACTAAAGGTACTGAGATGTTGATGGGTTCCACCCCAGTGACAAGAGGGGCACTGCCCCAGTGACAGTTTACTACATTTACTTCTGAGTGCATTCAAAAGTGTGAACACCCCCATCAACAATCATATTCTGATGATTTTCTAAGTGAAAGTAAATCAACACACCCTCTACAAAAACATGTCAGCCCTCTGAACTCATGTGTCATTCTGTAGTCAGTATGATGTACTGAAATTTCTAATATGGGCCTGACACCAATTACAGAGTGATGCACATCTTCAGGGCTCATTCTCTGTAATATCCATTTTATATCTGAGAAGTTTGGCAAACAACAAAAATGTATGTCCTAGCTAAAGGTAATGCCTCTCACTCCCAGGGCTGGTCTGAGGGACTGACTCTCAGGGCGGTCATATATATGGTCATTTATTTCCTCTCACCCAATCAGAAAACATGCTATGCCTCTAATTCCAAAGAATTTCCCACCCTTATGGAACTCAAGGGATGTCAGGAAAAACTCCCAAGGAGGAAAAACCACTGAAAGGAACCAAGGTTTAAATGGATCAGCTCTCTAAAAGCGTGAGGAAGAACCACTGAGAACAACAAAGACTCTAAAGGAAAAACTCCCTAAGAACATAGATAAGAACCACTGAGAAGAACCAAGACTCAAAAGGAAAAACTCCCTAAGAACATGGAGAAGAACCAATGAGAAGAACCAAGACTCAAAAGGAAAACCTCCCTAAGAACATGGAGAAGAACCATGAAAGAACCAAGACTCAAAAGGAAAAACTCCCTAAGAACATGGAGAAGAACCACTGAGAAGAACCAAGACTCAAAAGGAAAAACTCCCTAAGAACATGGAGAAGAACCACTGAGAAGAACCAAGACTCAAAAGGAAAAACTCCCTAAGAACATGGAGAAGAACCACTGAGAAGAACCAAGACTCAAAAGGAAAAACTCCCTAAGAACATGGAGAAGAACCACTGAGAAGAACCAAGACTCAAAAGGAAAAACTCCCTAAGAACATGGAGAAGAACCACTGAGAAGAACCAAGACTCAAAAGGACAAACTCTCTGAGAACATGAGGAAGAACAGTTGAAAGGAACCAAGACTCAAAAGGAGAAATTCTCTAAGAGCATCAGGAAAAAAAAACAATGAGAAGAACCAAAACTCAAACGGAAAAGCTTGCACTAAGAGCATGAAGAAGAACCACTAAGAGGAACCAAGACTTGAGTGGATAAACTCTCTCAGACACGAGGAAGAACCAAAACTCCAAAGGAAAAACTTCTTAAGAGCACAAAGAAATACCACTGAAAAGAACCACAATTGAATAGGAAAACTATCTAAGCGCATGAGGAAGAACCACTGAGAGGAACCAAGACTCAGAAAGGAAACCCATCATCCTCTGTGCCACACAGGACACTGAAGTTAGAATACAAGTAGAACCCAATTACAAGGAAGATTAAACAGATGCCCTTTAATCATACAGATAAACTGTAACAAAACCCCACGACTAACATTAAGAGTCTGATAGAAAACGGTCAGTAAAAGGTTCCACCACTACACTCAGCTCCACGGACACTTCTAAACATCCATCACTCCAAACTGTAGAGGAGGTGCTGATCCCTACAGCAGCCTGAAGGTCAAAAACACCACAAGAAGTACGCTGAAGATCACCACCACAAGGAGAACTCACACTCAGCCATGAGTGTGTGTGAGTGCTTGTATTTGTTTGACTCACAAAGGCTACAGACACACAGCACGTGATGGAGTTTTACATCGGTTCTTCTCTGCCCTCCTCAGCTGCTCTCAGATCAAGTGCATTTTCTATTCAAGAGAATGTTTTATCAGAAACAGGCCGGAAGAGAAGAGACTGAGAATGCAGACGAGGAGAGAGAGAGGGATAGAGCGACTAATCCATTCATGAGAATGAAACACAGTGATGCGTGTCATGAAGGAAGAATGTGCTCCAGTGTAAAACTCACCCTTATCATAGCAGCTCTTACAACACACTCAGTAACCACTCTTACAGACACGCACTGCAAAAAAATGGTACCTTGGCAAGTGACATTATCTTAACTCACTCATGTTGAGACTGTTGTAAGCTTATTATAAGATTACTGAATTTATTTCTTACTCTATTTTTTTTTAAATGATCTTAAATCATTGGCAGATAATGTTGCTTCTCTTAAGAAATATGCTTGAAAGAAGCAAAGTGATCTGCAAATTTTCTGAGATCGTTTTACTTGATACAGTTTTTTAAAACAAGAAAAACAAATGCGGCTTCAGACCCACACGTGGCTCTTTTACTGCCCTGTTGTGGCTCCACAGCAGAATCTGATTTGTAGGTAATAATAAAATAATAAAATCCTCCTTTACAGTAAAATAAAGCTCTGCTGATCGTTTTAACACAGTTTTAACAATAAATGGTCCTAAATGCTGGATTTAATGTAGAACTGCTAATTTCACCCTTTAACCCTGAGAGTTGGCACGCAGATTGAAAGTCACCATAGCAACACAGACAACAATCTCAGCTAGCTAGCTAGTAGCTAACGAAAAGGCAAAGAGAGATTTAAGATGAACATTGATAATTTGGAGTTGACTGGATTTGCATTCATAATCACTCCAGCTGGTTTCCTGATATGTTTAATCTGCAACGAGAAACTGTCACACACTGAAAAGCCACAAAGCTGAAGTCAGTTTCTCGTTCTCCAGCTTCTCCTTCGAATTGTCCCGTTCCACCTTAATTGGTGCAGCAGTTACATTCTGGCGCCTCAGGCACCATTTAAGGTGGAACGGGAAAATTTGCACTAGAAGCTGGCGAATGAGGAGTAACTTCAGCCTCGTAAAAAGTTGAATGTTGAGAGACATTTTACACAAAATTATTCTACTTTTGAGGAAAAGTTTCCTGCTAGAGATGTGAGAAAAGCGACTATAGCTGAGCTAAAGCTTCAAGCAGAGCACAGTAATTCTGGATTTTCGTATATATATATTTTTAGCCTATGCTAGTGCATTAGCACATACTGAGACACATTTACAGCCAAGATGGTAAAACGTTACTTCAATAACATGGACATGAAATGTTGTGGCTTCTAAGATTTTTGTTGAAACTTGACAGTATGGCTCTTCTTAATAAAAAATGGACAAAAACACATACAAAATTCAATGCCAGATGCATACTGGATTAAAATCACTCCACAATTATTACTGTCAGACTGTAAAACTACACACACTGCAGATTCATACTGGATTAAAATCACTCCAATTATTACTGTCAGATGTAAAACACACACTGCAGATTCATACTGGATAAAATCGCTCCACAATTATTACTGTCAGACTGTAAAACTACACACACTGCAGATTCATACTGGATTAAAATCACTCCACAATTATTACTGTCAGACTGTAAAACTACACACACTGCAGATTCATACTGGATTAAAATCGCTCCACAATTATTACTGTCAGACTGTAAAACTACACACACTGCAGATTCATACTGGATTAAAATCGCTCCACAATTATTACCGTCAGACTGTAAAACTACACACACTGCAGATTCATACTGGATTAAAATCACTCCACAATTATTACCGTCAGACTGTAAAACTACACACACTGCAGATTCATACTGGATTAAAATCACTCCACAATTATTACCGTCAGACTGTAAAAACTACACACACTGCAGATTCATACCGGTTATTTGTCTGTTTCTTGGACATCCCTTCTTTAAGTTCAACAGTAGTGCAGTCTCTATAGTGCTGGCTTGAACTCATCCCTGAACTTCAATGAAAGAGTTCCTACCTGACACTAAAAAGTGCTTCCCAAACGTTCCCGTTGCTTTGAAGAGTGAACTCTGCTGCTCACATTTTAGACAGAAGCGGCTCATCAAAGCCCCAAATGCACAGCCAGCCTGCAGCTCAAACGCAGCGAGGCAGTGGGCCAGCGGGCTGGAGGGCTGGCTGGTTTTAATCTGACCTCAGGCCTGTCTAGCTCACTCTAATCTTTACATTAGTCCTAGCTAATGGAGCAGCTATTAGCCGTGCGTGCGTGTTGTGGCCGGCCTGAGCTATGAGCTGCTGCAGATTGATGAATATCAGAGACGAAAGTCTTCAGATAAGAGTTTGGTGGACTTGCTGACTGAATGGGGGCAAAACACACAAACGTAGAAGCACAAACGCTGAGATGGATTTGATGAGCAGCAGAAAGAATTAAATGAACTGAACGAAAACGTGAGCAAAGCTGAAAGCTCAGAGCTTCTGTGGGAGAGAAGAAGAGAGGAAAATATGAGAGAGAGAGAGAGAGAGAGAGAGAGAGAGATGGAGGGAAAAGCTGAGATCAGAGTGAGAATGAGAGAGAGTGTGTGAGGGAGGAAGAGACAAAGAAGTAGTGAAACAGAGAGACAGACAGACAGACAGACAGACAGACAGACAGACGGAGACAGAAACGGACACAGCAAAAGAGAGATGAAAGGAGTGAACGAGGGAGTGAGAATGATCCTGTTGGTGTTCTCATGTGCCTCGTGTGTGTGTGTGTGTGTGTGTGTGAGAGTGTGTGTGTGTGTGTGTGAGTGTGTGAGTGTGTGTGTGAGTGTGTGGTGTGTGTGTGAGTGTGTGTGTGTGTGTGAGTGTGTGTGAGTGTGTGTGTGTGTGTGTGTGTGTGTGTGTGTGTGTGTGTGTGATCAGTATTCAAGGTGAGAGTCCATAAATATTTCAGTTCGCTGAAACCTTCACTCACAGAGATATCAGCACTCAGTCAAACTGGAGAGAGAGAGAGAAA